AGTGAGTTACCCCCAAGATACCTATACACACCATAATACACATACAATAACATACATCATACTATGGGTCCAATCATCCATCGGGATGGAATACCCCAGGCCCTCAACCATTGAGTTGGAATGCCAACATACCAATACACTTCACATAACACATATACAATTAACAGCATGTACTGGGTCCACAAATTTACAGACTGGATTACCCCTGGCCCACAGTGTGAGTCTGGATTGCCTTCCGGGCCCACAGCTTACATCTGGATTGCCATCGAGCCAACAGTACGAGTCTCCCTCAGCTCGTATCTGGGATGCTCCCGGGTTTGTCGGTTACCGCATGGAGCAGTTTCACCTCAACCCATCCCACAAAATATGTCGAAATATAACACAACTAATGCACATACATATAATCACATAATACTACAGGTTGTCATACAGATCCACCTAACTGGCATAACTACTAGCATGCAGACAATCAGACCAACTATAGGTCACTAAGCATAACCACATCCGATCTACCAGGATACCGATCTAACAGATCATACTAGCATATAACCATCCTATCTACCAGGATACCGAACTAACATATCACAACAGTAATAATCCCAATAACAAAATAAAGGGCCGGCCTTGGTGCCTTAGACCCTTGAGTATAGTGAGGATAACTCACATCGCAACTGACACGCTGAAGTGATAAGCTCCACTCTCGGATCACTGTCACAGACTCCACCACCTATAATCACCATAGAACCATACTCATAATTTCCAATTTTCCTAAAATGCTCCCAGAAGTCAAATAGTCTACCCTTGGTCAATGTCTAAGTCAAAGGTCAAGGTCAACAGTCCATGTCGACCTCAACTCGTCGAGTACAACCAGCCACTCGTCGAGTTCCTTGCATAACTCGCCAACTCGTCGAGTCACATGAGTGACTCATCGAGTTCCTAATGTTTGCGGCCGTAAACTTCTTGTCCAACCCGTCGAGTTTCTCTGCAACTCGCCGAGTTCATGCGTGCCAAAATCCGGGAAAACCCTAACTGACTCGCCGAGTCACCCTACTAACTCGCCGAGTCCACGACAATCTTCTTCGGACTCACCGAGTTGACCATACAACTTGTCGAGTCCCTTCAGTCCTTCGTCCATCCAGATGCTTTTTAAGCCATGATAAGGTTCCATATTGCAGATCCAATTCCCCAAGGCATGTTCATCACGTAAAGTTGCAAACTTTACGTGCATGCAAGGCTCTAAAGACTCTAAATGACAAATCCAAGCTTGAAATGGAGTTTTACACTTAAGGAGGGGTTCATACTTGCCAAAGTTGATAGCTTTATGGACTTAGAGCCCAAAGAGAGTTCAGATCTGAAGTTACAACCTCATATCTTAGCTCAGACCCAAGAATAGCTTCTTATTATGCTAAAAAAGCCCTAATCTTTAATCAAATGAGATCTAAAAGGAAATGAGATCAAGGTAACGGCTTGATACCTTCCAAGAGATGCCAACTGAGGTAGATATCAGATCCCCACACGTTCTTTGCTCCTAGCCACTTGCTCTCCAAGTTCTTCTTACAAAGATCCACCTCCCAAAGATTGAAACACACAAGGATGAAGCACACACACGGATTAGGGTTTCCTGAACTCTCAAGAGGCTGTAAGGGGGCTGAAGGAGGCTTATGATCCTTTAAATAGGGTGCAAAACCCCGAAAATTAGGGTTTCATCCTCCAGCTCCTACTCGTCGAGTCCCTTTTTGCACTCGGCGAGTAGGTCAGTTAAACATGTGGACCAACCCGCTCCTACTCGACGAGTCAGGGCAACCAACTCGTCGAGTAGACCTTGAAATCATGAAAATTAAAACCATAAATTAATACTTTGAGAATCGGGGCGTTACATATACTCTGATATTTGAGATACACTTTTATTATGTTTGGTTTTGAAACAAATGATGTATGAATTTGATGGTTTAAAAATCAAAAAAATTAATCGGTATTTAGGATGTTACATTTCGATTCTCGAATCATCCATGAGAAAGCTACAAGAATCGATCAACATAGGTACATCACTAGACTTCTTGTTGTCATTTTTATGTTGCTATTACTTCATAGAATAAGATCCTTGATGTTATGTGATGGTATAGTTTTTTTAATTTGCTTTCGTTGCGTGTTTGTAAAACTATCACATTCCAACAATGTGGTATTCACCAATGAATGAAAATTCACTTAACATAGCATCACAAATTATCTAATTCTCTTTTCATTCTTTCTTTCCTAAAAATCCTCTTTTCTATTCTCAGTCGATTTCCTTCCTTCCAAGCACATCATCGACTCCTTTGCTTCCTTGCTCTTCACGATATCCATGATTGAAAATCAACCACAACCTAACAAAGTCTTTGGGATCACAAACATCAAATATCACATTCATCTTATCCTTGATCTAGACGGCATTAACTATGATGCATGAAGAGAACTCTTCTCCACACATTGTATAAGGGTTGATGTCGTCAACCATATTGACGACGCCTCCTAAGAGTTTGACTCAATTGTCAAGCATTGGATATTCGGCACCATCTCTCGGTCTCTTCTTCAAATGGTGCTAAAAAGTACTTGTCGGTTCGTAATGTTTTGATCGATCTTGAAAACATATTCTGCATCAAGAAGATGTGAAGTCTATGAAACTAGACAACTAACTACATAATGTTACTATAGGAGACTTCTCGATTATCAAGGATTTCACCAAGATAAATTTATGGTGGACCTTCTTGAGAATATTAGTGCATCGATTCTAGACATTACCTTTTCATCTATATTATTAACGACTTGTCTTCCAATTTGAATATGTTGAAAGCATCATTTTCACTTATCTCCCCTCCCATCGTTCCTTGAAACACGTTCCATGTTACTTCTAAAAAAGCAACGAATGGCTCAAAATCTTTGCACTTCATCGTTGGACATACCAATCACACATCCTCGCCAATCATTCTACATGCCTACATTAACAACTCTTAAGGAAGAGGCTTCCATTATGGTCAGGAAAGTAGAATGATCGTTGACAGTAGCCAAAATATCACTTCCAGACTAACCAATCACCACCCTATTACACTAGGTGTTTATCCTATTTCCACCTCACACTCTGTCGTCTTCCACCTCCTAGAGTCCCTCCCATGATTCCCTATTTTTATTAGGTGATGTCGCAACAAGCCCGGTGCAGGCCCACCAACGTTATACTTCTTGACCCATGCCTACAACATAATTTTATGCTAGATGGCCCACAATACCACCTTGTTGTTGGGGTCACTAACTTGCCAACTGGACAACTCATTTCGGTATGGTGTACACAATTTGATAGCCTATCTCCTTTCCTTATGTGTTCAACACACACTCATTTAATGATCGTGGAAATGGTGGATGGACCATGGATATCGAGGCTACAGACCATGTCCACACAGATGAAAGTGTCCTAAAAACCATCTTAAATAATCATGAACCTCGTTTTATGTATGTTGGTGACAAGTCCAAAATTCATTTAGCTATGACCGGACACACTTACATTCCTTTAAAAACCCATATCGAACCCTTCACTTAAGCAACGTTCTTATAAAACCAAACATTTCAAAAGACCAATATTTTCAAATTAGACATTCACTTCATTCAAGATCAAGTTGCATCATTATCAGTCTGAATTCTTCATGTTTCGTCCTCCTCTAAGTATGTCGATATTTTTACGAAGGGTTTACCATCTACATTGTTTCACGACTTCAAGTTCTATTTAAATGTTCGAAAGTTCCCTCGCAATAAAATTGCAGGGGAGAGGGAGTGTTAGACTAGATGTAATGTTGTATTGTTAGCCCATAATATTAGCCATGTTACTTAGCCCTATAGCCGGCACTTGGCCTTTGTTTGTACATTTCCGCATTTACCAATGAATGAGAATTCCACTCAACAAGTTTTAATGTGTGCTACATTCTAAAGCCTTATATTATAACTTATTATTGTAGTATTGCACTAACACAGATTTGTAATTACATTGAAAACTACCTATTAAAATTAATAAAATCAAACAAAATGTGTTTATTGTCATATTGTGAACTTAGCCTTAGTCGTATAAAAAATCTATTTCAATATATTATCTAACATACTTGATTTGTCTATTTTATCATCATCTCCATTAATATTAATGTTCTTTTTTACATTACTTACTTTTTATTTTTATTTAATTGAGGGGACAATAATTGGGTTACACTAATCTTGTGAGAAGCTACGTGTAGGTTTCATTTCCATCATGCCTCATGCTCAACATAATTTCGCAAAACTTATATTAAAAGAGAATCACCAGATTTTTGGTAGAATATATATGTAAAAAGAATATCCTATTATTATACGTTTTAATATAAAAAATTAATAACTATAATCTTAGTTATAATTTTAGATATTAAATGTATAATTATCATGTGCGGTGCAAAATAGACAGCTGCACAGGATCTAATTTTTTTATTATATAATTTTATTTAAAAATAAAAACTTAAAATAAGGCCATTTTTTTTTTCTGGTTAGGCCTTTCAGGATAATTAATTCCTGACCTGATAATTATTATATATCTCATGAAATTATGCTAAGTTTGGGGTAGGCTTAAAGCCTTAAAGGTCAAATTGTACATAAAAAAAAGTATTTTTAAATTAATTTCTACTTAAAATTCTATCTCCAAAATCAACAATCTATAATTAAGCGTCCAGATTAAAAACTAGTTAAAGTACGTTTTTTTCACTTACAACTTACATATAAATTACATAGAAAATATATATGAGCACCCTGAGTTTGACTGAGTAACGAGTTACAACCTGAGTTCGTTGCCAATATTAGCATGACTCACTCAATACATGATTGATCGATATGTCTGTCCTCTTCATCACCAAAAAACAAACAAAATTTAATCCAACCACCGTAAAGAAAATGACATCTAAACCCTTTCTTTCCACTCTTTCATTTCATCAAAGTCATCAATTTATTCAACAAAAAAAATGGCCTCAAGACAACTTCTCTCCGCCCTCCTCCTCCTCCTCCTCCACCTAACCCTAAACTCTCCACCTGCCACGGTGGCTCAGTGCCCCTACCCATGCTACCCACCACCAACCGGTACTGGCGGCAACACCAACACCCCGCCGGTTCCTCAAACAGGGAATTACCCTCCTCCAGCAGCTATTTACACGCCACCCTCGACTGTTTACCCTTATAACCCTCCAACTCCTACCTTTTACGGTGGCGCACCACCACCTCCAGACCCTATAGTTCCATGGTTCCCTTATTACTACAAGGATCCGCCTCGTAACCCTAATAAATCATCGTCGGCGGATCTGCCAAGAGGGTCAACGGTTGTGATTTTTATGATCCATATTCTAGTGTTTCGGTTGTTTTTATTGTGAAGTTAGGTACCATGCATGAATCTGCAAGCTTCTTCTTCTTTCTAGACATAATGTATTATTTGTCGATGAGCTGGATGCTGTGAGGAGACGGCGTTCGTATAGGGGCAAAAATGGCAATCAAGAAAAAGGATGGGGGTAAAAATGGTAATGTCTTTTTTGTTGAAAGCGTAGATAACTTTTTCTGTATTTTAGCCTTTTAATGGAAAAGGATTGTTAATTATTCGTAGTTATAATATGTGTTCCAATTAAGAGTTGGAAAGTTATATTTAAGATACTTAAATTTTTATATAATGACGTAACATGATACTTTATTGGACATATTAAATAAGAATATGAGATATTTGACTTCATGGCCATATTTTCCGATTGTGGTGGCAATTTTTTTTTTTCAATTAAGGTTTATGGCCATTGATATAGATATTAGATAATGACATAAATTTCATCTCCTTAAACCTAATTTTTGGCGAAATTTGACTAAGTACATCATGCATGAGCATCGTTTTCCAAAGTACATCATGACTTTTACACCATTTTATTAATCGTATTAAATGTATATATTTGTGGAACAATATTTTTTATATATTTTTTATTTTATGCAATACAGTCGGTTTCTTTCAAATCTGCAACAACATTTCCGGTTAGTTAAGACCAAAAGAAATAATATCTAATGGCTTATAATGTGGTCACAATACGTGGCGCTTGTATAAATTAGTAACATGAAATTAATCTAGTATCATAAATTGCTAAAAAGTAAAATATTGTCGCAAAAAAACTTTCAACCGGTGTCATGCTATTAGACTATGTTTATCAACAATCCTTCACAATCCAACCTTATAATAAAATATATTATTTTAATTATCCATATACACTACCAACTTATCAACGTTAACATTTTTTTGATCATTTATAATCAACAATCAAAAATATATTTTATTTGAAAGTTTCAATATATACAAAAATAAATCGAATATTTAATTTGTAGAGAATTAAAAATTATGAATTTTGATGTATTATTTATAATTTTTCAAAAAATATATTATCCAATAAATTGATATAAATGTGGGGAAAAAAAAAAGTGAAACTTGTGGACAATCAAGATCGTGAATATAGGTTGGCTGAGGACTCATTTCTTCAACCGGTTGTCATTAATGATCGATGTATTTTACTTTTTTTAATTTAATTATGCTGAAAATACAAATGATCGGTCGGACATATCATCTAATAAACATAGTCTTAGATTTTGGAAACGGCAAGGTTTTTTTTTTTTTTTTTGTTTTTTTTAACGGCGAATGCATTAAATTAGCAAGAAGCTAGCACAAAAACAAGTTACAAATTACAAATATTGAAAGAAAAGATACATCAGTTGTACCAAGTGACTAGCACGTGACTCGTCAGGCTATCCGAAGTGGATAGCTCTCCCCGTGTGAAGGGCTAAGCCGGAGGGGCTAAGGACGCGTGAACACCGCCCCCAGCCCCGACGGTTTGGGTGTGGTGTGACCATGGATACGGACGAAGACGCTGTATTTGATTGGTTCCCTCACATTTTCTCTCTTTGTCTTTCTTTTCTTTTTGCACATTCACTACCTAACCACAGGTGAACACCGCCCCCAGCCCCGGTAGTTTAGGTGTGGAATGGTGAAATATCTATGTGTTATCACCTTTATTCACAAACCACGTGTGACCATTGCCGATAGCCTTATAATAGCTACAAATCTAAGCATGTTGGGTTTAAAATAAAAATTGGCAGTGATTTCAATAAAAACTTGCTTTGTATACACAAATTTAGAACCATATACACTTGTAGTATTTGTTAGCATATAATACGATCTTAGTTTATTTTTGTTTGTAATCTATAATTCTTTTTTTTTCAAAATATTAAAAAAAACAGCGTACTTTGCAAAAACATATATATTTGATTAATAATAAAAATATGAATGGAAAAAGTGACTTATCGGATAACTAATTGCAGTGGCGGACCTTAGTGGAGCCCGGGGGTCCCGGTCCACTCCTCCGATTCCGGCACGTAGTGTAAAAAAAATTATGTTTTTTTATGTTTTTTCTATTAGGTGCACCGGCTTAAAATACGAACGCCACTACTAATTTAGATTTTTTCGGGAATTTTTTTTTAATGTCAACCCTACTAAAACGTTCTGCGTCCGCCACTGACTAATTGTCATTTTTTTTATATTTAGTTGTTATTTTAAATGTTTGACCAATAAATTTATTTAAAGTGTTCAAAAATACTGTTATTACCGGTGATTAAAAGTTTTTCTAGTTTCTGATGAATAATAAACTTGTGAGAGTAATGAAGTTTTGCAATTGTGCGCATTAATCATTTTTTAAAACATTTGACTCATAACCTTAAATTAAGAACAAATTTAATCAACAACCTATTTTTTTATATAATTTTTTTTTACATTTTTATTTATTTTTTTTACACTTGTTTACCTATGTATTAAAACGATTAAGTAAAAAATTAGAAATAGATTTAGAAAAATTATGTTTTCAAAAATCCGTTTTCTATTTTTTATTTTTACTTATTCATTTTCATGCAATTCAGATTGTATAACTCTTTTTTCTTTTTTCTTTTTTTTTTTTTACTTTTTCGTTTTTAAAAATTTGTAAAAAATAAATCAATAGACTTGCAAGCTTACCTGATTATTAAAGAAAAGTTTTGAACCATAGTAACCTAGGAGCGAAGCATTTGCGGGGGCTAGCCTCATTCCTTGACTTCCAATTTGATTTTTTTTTCTCTTAAATTTGAATCATTTCCTCTTTCTCAACATTCTAGTGTTTAAGAACTTAATACTGAAATATGTAAAATAAATATTGGTCTATTATTCCCTATTCTTTGCAATTCAGAAAAACGATAACCGAGCCATCGGAGATCTATCTAGATTCACGAGTTAAGTTTAACAATCTTTTTTCTCTCAGAGAATTGAAGGTTGTGCTTTTTTTTTTATATATATATATATATATATATAAAATTACGTTTTTGACAATTTCTTTATAATTTTTCTTATATTTTCAATAAAATTACATTTCTAACAATCTAATTGTAAATTTGTATTCAATAAAATTATGTTTGAGACAATTTTTTGACAACTAAGTTTTTTATAACTTAAAAAAACAAATATGTAAAAAAAATTACAACATGCATGAGTCATGACAATGAATAAGTAAAAAGGTTAGAAAACGGATTTGTAAAAAACAAATTTATATAAAAAAATTAATTGGTTAAAACAAAAAATCACTTAAAAACATGAACAAACATGTAAGAGAGTATTGGTGAACAAGTGTAAAAAGTAGTATAATAAAAGATGTTTAAAAAAATAGTTTGTTGACTTTGATATCAATCTAAGTTTATTTATCAAACGTGTTAAAAAAATAACTCAATGTACAATCACAAAACTTCATTATCCTCGTAAGTTTATTGATCGTCGGAGAAACCTTTAAACCAGTAATAATTATATTTTTTGAATTAGTCATGTACAAGAATAAAGTGATTAAATATAAACATAAATGACATTTAATTATCTACTTTTTTTTTAGAAAAGGCAAATATCATTAAAGGAGGCAAATAGCAAGAAGCTACAACAAGCCAAAAGTCAACAAAACGAACAAATAGCGCAAGAGAAAGAAAAACAAAGCTAGGGGAAGAAAAAAAAAGACATAATTAAGTTGAGAGATGAGTGAAAGGCGATACACTCCATTCAATCCAATTCCCACAACCAAGTCCACCTCTGTGCTTGCACCAAACATACGAGAGAGAGATAATATTGTCTGTAATTTTCGCCGGATGCACACCAATTCCTTTGAATAACTTATTATTCCTGGTTAGCCATAAATTCCAGATGAGGCAGTGAAACACCATGTTCAGTATTAACTTCTTCCTAGGACAATTTCCCCAAGTAGCCGCGTAATCTGTGAATTCCTTCACATTTTTGAACCTACTCACTTCAATTCCACACCATTTAAGTATCCAATATTGTACCTCCCTAGAATACTCACATGTAACAAGTATATGATCCACTGTTTCTGTCTCCTTATTACACAGAGGACAAAGATTATTGGGGATGATAATTCCCCTAGTTGCCAAAGTATCTGCCACCGGAATCCTTCCCAACACAGCTCTCCATATGAATCCACTTACTTTCAAAGGAATTAGCTTGGACCACCAAATTGTCGGCCCTTTGAACGGAATCAATTTTGATTCCAATAGTTTTCTCATTATTTTCACAATATATTCACCCGTGGGGTTGAGGATGAATCTGAAGCCATATTTGGAATTTTTCTCAATGGTCATATTACCAATATCCAAATATAATTCCAGCAGTTCCTTCAGTTCAATACCACCTGTTGGTTCGTGTCTCCACATCCATGAAAACCCGTTACCAGAAAATCTATCCTCCAATCGACAGTTTTTAACCGTTTCTAGCGCGAACAGGTGAGGAAATTTGAGATGAAATGGAATATTACTGCACCAAATGTCTTTCCAAAACAGAATGTTACTTTGCAAACCAGGAATGAGAGCAAAAATATCCTTACAGTCGATATGTAGCTTTTCAATGGATTTCACCGCCTTCGAAATATTGCACCAAACCCCATTTGTTGTTTTCCTTGCAATATATATTGCCGGTTTGTTGTATAAGTTATATATGCTCATGACGACTTCTTTCCAGAAACTGCCATTGTCGTTCATGAACCTCCACCACCATTTGATCAATAGGGCAATATTTTGAGCAAGTATGGAGCCAACACCGAGACCTCCTTCTGATTTTGGTGCAATGACTGTTTTCCAATCAACCCAATGTATTTTCTTTTTGAGTTCTCCACCTCCCCATAAGAATCTACGCCTGATTTTGTCAAGATGATCAATGATTCCTTGAGGAGCCTTGAAGAGGGACATGTAGTATGTGGGGAGGCAGTCAAGAACTGATTTTATGAGGGTGAGACGACCTCCAAACGATAAGGATTTGGCTTTCCAGCTCGATAATTTG